GCCCTGGCCCATGTCTACCCCCGTGAAGCCTGGGCCGGAAGGCTGGCTCCTCCCAGATCTCCCTTCCTGGGTCTCGGGCCCCTCGGGGCCCTCAATCTGGACTACCCGCCTGCTCACATTCAATGCTGGTCTACCCCGCCACCCCACACCGGGCCACACTCCACAGGCTACCATTTTGCGTTGTCACTTCACCCTCTTTAGGGGACTTCCTGGGCTCTGTGACTTTGGGGCTCTGTCTCCCCTGATAATAGGTGACGTGCACCCCGAAGGTTCAGCCCACCTCTGTGGCCTGCAGTGTTGTGTCGGAGCCATCAATCAGCTTGGCTTTCGGAGCGGGTCCTGGGTGGCAGCTACTGCTTCCATCAACTTACAAAGGTTAGGGTCATCTCCCAAAGCTCCAAGAGACCTCTGCCCTGCCTTATGACTTGTCACCACAAATGGAGGGGACACACTGCCTGGAGCTGGCTGACTGCACACGCGCTGAGCCCAGGGCAGAGGCTGCAGGACTGGGACGTCTTCCTGGGGAGATGGAGGCAAACTACGGCCTCCTCTTTGGATAGTACTGGTTCCCTCCCTCCCCTCCTCATGAAGCTGTGCCAATAATCTCCAAACCAGGAACATCACCTCTCTCACCCCACCTGCCCTGTACCCCCTTCTCCCTTCACCAACCAGAAGGACAAATGACAACCTTCACTAGGACCAAAAGTACCAGCCCCCTCCTGCAGACCGAGGATCTCAGGGTCTGAATCCCTTTCCCTACCATATTTCATTTCCCCTCTAGCCACGCAGACAGGACTGCCACAGCAACCTGTATCCTTGAAGGTGAGCTGGGAAAGGACTCTAATAAGAGTAGAGGGCTTGGAGAAGCCCGGCTGTTAGATCTGTCGAAGTGAGAAAAGACCTCATCTGTCCAAGAACCATGAGGAAGACAAGAACAAGGAAGAACCTTAAGACTCCTTGCAACCTGGATTCTATCCTCGTTCGCTACAGTTGGACACTATCGAGAGAGATCTCGGTTGGGAAGGTTACAGCTGAGGGTGGTGACCCAGTTCCGGACTGGGGGAACAGGGAGTGTGAGGGGAGGTGGTGGTGGCGGATGGCGAGAACATGGATCCAAGCCCTTTGGCAACATTGAAAATATGGAGCCCCTTCTCTCCCTGGCCCCCACGCTATCCTGCAGACAGTCGTGCTGTGCCGAGCCGTCCGAGGCCCTGTAATATCAACTCAACAATGCATGTTCTACAACTACGGCTACGGCTACCAGGACATCTACTACAGTGCATGCATTTAGTTCAGTCCCACAGAAACATACAGTCTAAGAACAGGCAGGGGTGTGAAATGTTTTACTGGACAACAGGTGTTTTGGAGTCGTAACTAATAATAAAAAAAAAATCGAAAACGAAAGTGTACAAAAAAAGACATTTCTCGAGAGTTGGATATGAGTTTGTTTCTTGAACTGTTTCATCTGAACAAGCAAAAACATGCAAACCAGCTGGTACTAACAGGAAGCTGGACACTGAGAGAGGATTAATAGGTGTGGACAAACCTTCCCGCTGAGCGTGCTCAGAAGAGTGTTTGAGAGGAGGTGTGCAGATCCTAGTGTAAGAGAGGCGGGAAAGTATGCCTCAGAGACACTCTCACCGCAGCCCCAACCAAGCAAGAGAAAAGACAACAGAAACGTGACTCTCACACTCACCACCATCAGGAGCTCATGTCACTAGATGGGAACAAAGCTGGCAAGTGTAAAGCGCAGTAAGGGGTCCTGGCTTGGGGGGTGGAGGGGTGGGGGGGGGGTGGGCTGGGGCCAGGCCGGGGCTGGGGGGGCCGGAAGCTCTAAGACTGATACACAGACCCACCTGAGATGCCACCCAGAAATCAAATAGTCTGGAAATCTGAACCATTTCCCTCACCTGTCAGTGAAGTCCTTTGCCAATTTGGACTTAGGGTTTTTTTTTTTTGGGGGGGGCATGATGGGACCACTGGAACTGAATGGATGCGATCAAAATAAACAAAGTCTCCACTGAGCACAAGAAAAGATGACGTGTCAAACTTCCGGGTGAAGGTAACAGAAAAGTGACACTGATAGTGAAGTCATCTAGGAGTCGCCGGGACCTCCCCGGGGGTCGCCGGGCCCACCCACCTCAGGGCCGGCACGGGCTGGCCCGGAGGAGCCGGCTGGCCCGGGCGCAGGGCTCCCGACCCGGGAACCCGCCCCTGACAGGCAGTCGCCAAGCTGAGCGAGTCCAAAGCTGCGCCCCACCCACGGCCCTCCGCAGGCGCTTCCGCTCGGGAAGCTCCCTGCGTGTCATCACGAGGAGCGGGAAAACCACACAAAACGGTGGAGCTAGACAAAAGCGAAAGTGAAAAGAGGGCCTTCCACAGTCGGCCTGCCCCCTCACAGCCAAGCCCGGGCACCCCTGGGGCGCAGAGGCCCCGCGCCCCGCTGCTGGGAGCTCCCAGCCGGGTGCGGCGTGGGACCCGGCTCGGGGCGGCACTGCGCAGACTCCCTGAGCCCGCCCTTCTCTGCCAGCGAAGGCAGCGCACTCGTGATGCCCTCAAACAGGCGCTTGCTTGGGGTCAGGTGCGGGCCGCGGGCCGCAGGAATATCCTACTCGCCTGGGGAAGAGCTGGGGTGAGTGCGGCAGGGCTGCGGGAGCACAGGCAGGGAGAAGCGGACAGTCAGCCCTCCGGGCGCCCCCGCTGGCCCGGGGCGTTGCACACAGTCTGTGCAGCCCTCACACCTCTGTCACATGCCAGGGGCTACGATGAGAGGTCAACAATGGGCCATCCTGCCAGACCTGGGGTCCACACCGTGTTCTGGAGGGAAAGGGCGGGGGGCGGGGGGGAGAGGAGCGTCTTTACGGGTCACACTGCACTAGTGGAGCGGCAGGCAGAGATCTTCCTTCCCCAGCTGTGTAACCCTGCTCCAGGTCCAAAGGGGTTTAGTGGGAGGGGGGCCGGGCTACCCTGTCCACATGTGGGCACGTGTCTTCCAGCCCAGTAACAGCTCTGGCTTTGGCGGACACAGCCTGGTCATCGCCCTCGGGCACCCGGGCAGCAGCGACGCGTGTCCTGCAGCTTCCTGGCCAAGCCTGCGAGTTGAGGGTTTGCCCCTTGCAGTAACTAACCCAGGCTGTTGTGGGCAGGGGGTCTGGGAGCACACTCCTGAATAGAATTCACTAACAGTGTGGTGATGAGCATGGCTGACCTAGAATGGCCTGTGGGAGACTTGGCTCCCTATGGAAATGGCTACAAATAAAACAGCACTGATCCTGAAATTAAAAAAAAAAAAAAAGGTGTGGCTGGAGATGGCGCTGACCTTTGGGGTTAGGAGTTATCGGGGACGGGGTGGGACTCCCGCCTGGCTCTGGGGGTCTGCGAGAGGGCGGGGGTGGCAGAGTGGGGCAGAGGCCATGGGGAGACCACTTTCAGACTCACAGAGAACCCCATGCTGCCCTTTAAACTTGCCATGAAGTCAAGGAGAAGGGGGGCAGGGAGAGAGGCAGGGTTAATTCTGGGTTAAAGTTTAGTTTCATAATCCAAGTTACAGTAAGAGAGAGACTGAGCGGAGGAGACATCCATCAATAGCATCAAAAATCTCGTTTCCTTTAGTCGTCCTTCCTCCCAGGCACAGGCAGGACAGAGGCTCGTTTGTACTGGTACCAAAAAGTGCTCAAGTTAAAAAGCCAAACGGAACAGGCGCCAGGAGGCAGCTGGGCAACCCGCTCCCAGGGCAGGGGGACCAAGGGGCTCTGGCCCACGGGCCGGGGGTGCTCTGGAGGCTGGCTGGGCAGGGGGCAACCAAGCAAAGGTGCCCGGAGCACAGGCCCGACTCTCTGGCTAACTGGCCCTCAGCAGCCCCGAGAATTCCCCGGCCCTTCCAAACAAGCCCCCAGTGGGCGGCTCAGGGGAGGGGGTCCTTTGTAGCTCGAGGCAGTGCCAGTTTGCATGGAACGGATTTTTACTGACGTTTCCAAAGGGCCTCACTGTGCCAGTCTCTTACCCGCGAGGGTTTGGGTCTTTGCGGCCTTTGCCCTCTAGGCTTTCAATGGCCCGTTTCGTGGTACCCTCACCAGCATCGCCCTCCACCCCACCCTCCTCCGAGCCCTGTGACATCAGACAGAACTTGCTTGGGTTCTCCAGCTCCCTGGCCACAGGGTGTGAGAACACAGCTACCAACTGTGGCTCCTGGGTCTAGGAGGTGCGGGATCCTCTGGGGGGCTGGGCGGCTGGGGGAGGCCTGGAGACCTCGTGGGGCACAGCGCACAGCGGAAGCCCTGCCTGCTCAGGAAGGCAGAGTGTCTGGGGGCGAGGGGCGATGGCCCAGCTCTGGCCTGAGCCCACAGGGCCGCCGGGGAGAGGTTCCCGCCTCACCCCGGGGTTTCCAGACCCTGTCAGAGGTGGGATTTGGATACCCAGTGACTTGGGCAGCCTCGTGGGAGGAGAGGCCCCAGTTCCCTTGCAGCTGGAGTGCCAGGAGTTCTGGGTCTGTGCCAAGAAGTGAGCCTGGGATGGTACGGAAACTTCAGGAAGAGTGGCTTTGCTCCCCGGGGCCAGGCTCGGCCCACATTTGACCCGCAGGGACTGGGGGTGGGGGTATCTGGCCGGGTCAGCAAGCCCACCTGTGGAGTGCAGCAGGGGTCGAGGGGGCAGGAACACACGGATGGGCTCGAAGCCTCCCTTCACAACCTAGAGCTTCTCTGTCTGGGTCAGAGACGCGAGGCAGGGGGGCCCTGTGAACCAGCAAAAGCCAGGGACGGAGATGCCCACGGGCGCCCTGAGGCCGGCTGTCCAAAGTCCAGAAAAAGCACACCTCTCGTCTGCGTGAGAGTCCTCACGGCCCTGCGGCCTGCAGGCCCGCCACTACCCCCCCATGGGGCTCCCCCCCCGGGCCGTGGTGAGAGTCGGGGACAGACGCAGCCACACAGATCCAACCGGGCCGTCACGGTCCCTGCACACGGGGCATGCCTGGGAGCCGCCGGGCCCACACGCCTCCCTACCTGAGCCTCGCGCCGCCGCCACCGCCGCCGCCGCCACCGGTCCGTAGGCCGCTGCCGGGAAGCCTGGCGGAGAGAGGGGAGCTGGGGTGAAGGGGGGCCCGCCGGGGTCCCCCGAAGACGCGTCCCACGGTCAGGCCCCCGCCCCCATGGAGAAGACAGGGTGGGGAGGGGCCTTCAGGAGGGACACAGATCAGCGGCTCTCAGGCTTCTGGAAGGCCCAGCATCCCTAGGTGTGTCTGATTCCCACCCGTCTGTCACCCCAGAAGCTGGTTCTAGAAGGCACACCAGAATCCTCGGGAGAGAGTTAGGAGGAACGTCTCTCGGGGGCAGGGCGAGCTCTCTGTGTCCCTACACTGGTACCCTGGTGATCCCCCAGGGCTTGGCCAGAGCTGAGGGCAGGGTCACAGGCGGGGGTCATCCCTGAGCTGCAGGCGGGAGGCCCCAGGCATGGCCTCTGTGCCCACAGGCACCTTGGGCAGGAGATGGTTCAAGTCCAGCTGCCCCACTGTCTTAACTGCAGACCTCTGTGTCAGCAAGGTCACAGGCCTAGGGCGAAGCATCCCGGACACCCAGCTCGGGGAGGAAGTGTGGGGCGGCAGGGACCCACGTGGGGAGAGCCCTGTGGCTCCCACGGCGCATTGTGGGGTTCAGATCTGGCTCTTCTGTCTGAGCTCCACCGACTGGATCAAGTGGGCACTGAAGGGTCTCCTGGGGGCCTCGACCAAGCGCTTGTGCTTCATCTGACAACGCTCCAGGCAGCAAGGCTGTCCCAGCAATGGGACTAAACGCCAGGACAGGGTGACCTAGTGTGGCTGCAGAGGGGCCTGGTGAAGGAAGTGGGGGCAAGTCCCTCCCCAGGGCTTCTCTTGGCCATGAGCATGTGTACACACAGCCAAGCCTGGACAGACACCCCCCATCCCCAGGCATGGAATAGCCTGCCTCCAGGCAGACACTTACGGGCCTGATCCCAAGACCCACTTCCCGTGACTGGTTTTAAATGATGTGCTAGAAGCCAGCAGCAAACAGCCCAACAGAGGAGCTCAGCATTGGCCATTGAGCCTTCCAGATAAGGAACTGCTAACAGGACGAGGGGGTGGGGGGGACATGCACCATGGAGGGCGGGGGGGCAGGGGAGGAGAGAAAGGAGAGAGAGAGCCGTCCCCCAAACACAGCGAACTAGAAGCCCACTAATCGCTAAGACTATCGCCCTAGCTACACGAAACTACTGGGGAGGAGAGAAGTTCAAAAGGGAAGGAGCTATTCTAGAAACGTCAGGCTAAGCTACTGCAAATGCCAATGAAAAGAGACATACTTGCATTTAAATATGGTAATAGGGCTGTTGAAGGGGGAAAAAGAAAGATCCAGGTGAAATAAAAGTACACGGCAATGACCCCTGCCGAGACCAAGGAAGGGACTCCCCCACCAAGTCCTCTCCCCATCTCTTCCGGGCAGGATCTAGATTTCTGGAGATGTGGGTGCTGGCGGAAAGTGCTGAAGGAAAATAAGCGAGAAGTCAAGTTATTTCTCCCCGTTGGAACTCTACACCGGGCTCTCCTGCAGGCTTGGAGCAGGGCTCAGGGGACCCTGGGGGAGAAGGGAGTGGGCGGGCACAGAGGAAGGACCTTAGGCTTTTGCACTCTCTCACCTCCTGCTTGGAACAGGTTTCCAGGAAAGCATGAATAGAACGGCGGCGGTGGGGAGGAACGGAGAGGGGACAGACCTGGGGGAGGGGAGTTGACTCAATAAAAAGACTTCAACAAAAGGTCTATTTTCTGAAGTCGAGAGCATTTTGGACAGAAAGTCTGACAGAAAGAGGGAGGAAAAAAAAAAAACAAAAAAACCTTATCCAAGAAAGGAAATCCATTATCCTTAATCTCAGATAAAGGCTCCTGCTGGAGACTGCGCAGCAGACACTGCTGAGGGCTGGAATTTAATCTCAGGCGTCAAAGCGGGGCTGAGCGGAGTGACAGGTGTGAGAAGGGGGTGGGGGGCAGGGAAGGAGAGCCACTGGGTGTGCCCTGAGTTAGGCGCCCTCAGAGCACAGGGCCACAGCGCCGGCCCCAGCCTGGCCTCCTTGGGCAGCCCCGGGGAGGAGGCTGCTGTCCCAGCGCCCCGCATGGGGCTGGCTTCTGGGCCCGCTTCTCCTGCTCCCTGCTACCACTCCTGTCATGTTAGGCTGCCCAGCCTCACTGGTCATCTCAAACATGCTGAGAACAGCTAAGCCCCTGATGCCATTTCCAAGGCCAGTGGCTCTCTGAGGTGGTGGGGTTTGCAGGGGACGTGTGAGCACAGATCCAGGAAAGAGATGTGTCGTGTGTCCCCAGGAGAGAGGTAGAGGGTGTGTGTGTGTGTGTGTGTGTGTGTGGCTCTGGGTGTGTGTGTCTCTGGGTGTGTGTGTGTGTCTCTGGGTGTGTGTGTGTGTGGCTCTGGGTGTGTGTGTGTGTGTGTGTGAGGCTCTGGGTGTGTGTGTCTCTGGGTGTGTGTGTGTGTGGCTCTGGGTGTGTGTGTGTGTGTGTGTGTGTGTGAGGCTCTGGGTGTGTGTGGCTCTGGGGGTGTGTGTGTGTGTGTGTGGCTCTGGGGCTGCTCCAGCCAGGGGCCCTCATGGGTGTGTGTGTGTGTGTGTCTCTGGGTGTGTGTGTGTGTGTCTCTGGGTGTGTGTGTGTGTGTCTCTGGGTGTGTGTGTGTGTGTGTGTGTGCTCTGGGGCTGCTCCAGCCAGGGGCCCTCATGGGGCTAAGCCGCCCTGAGGCAGTGCAGCCTGTCTCCAGGATGGCAGGAGGGATCCCAGGACTAGAAGCTCCCAGGGCTGGACCTGCGGGAGCAAGAAGAACAGGAGGAGGGAGCCTCGCAGATCCTCTCCACCTTGTTCTCAGCATCTCTCCCCAGGCCCCCGGGAGTCAGTAGGCACCTGCAGCAGGCTCCCTCCTGGAGAAACCTCTCTTGTTTTATTTTTGAGGGGTGTGGGTTCAGGCTGCTGTGGCAGTGGGTGTTCAGGGCAAGACTGCAGGGAATTAGGCAGCTCTGGCGGTGCTTGGGACTCCTCGTGACAGCTGAGGGCCAGGAAAGCATGGCAGAGCCCCTGGTCCAAGAGTGCCTGTGGGCACCCTAGCACCCCACTGCCCCGATGACCATCCCCCTCAGTGGCCGGGAATGCGGAGAGGGGCTCCCTCCGCAACACAGCCTGTGTGGCCAATGCAGGAAGGGGGCAGCCAGCCTCATCCCTGCGAGGCAGGTTAGCCCGACAGCCACGTGTGCAGACAAGGAGCCTGTCCGGGTTCAAATCCCGGCCCAGACACCTGCTGGCTCAGTGATTCTTGGCAGGCTGCCTCCTAACCTTCCTGTGCCTTGCTATCTCCATTTGTAAAAGAGACTGATGCTATTAACTGGAGATTAATAGATGCAAAGTGCCTAGACGACTGCCTGCCAGGAAGTAAGCTTCAGTGAGCGTCAGCTGCCCCTCTGATGAGGCTGCCAGGTCTCTGTCCAGCCATCGGCCCTGCCCTCAAGACAGGGCTCTGCTGCAGGCAGGGCTAATCCACGTCCAAGCTGGGCCACAGGGTCAGCAGGTCATTAGCACACGGGAGGCCTGAACCCCTGTTGATAACACTGGGCTGGAATATTTCATGACGTCCCAGCTTCATGCTGTCATTTCCGTGGAACCAAACTTCCATACCTCAGGATCAGAACGTGCATTCCACTCAGCTCTAACAATGGGCCAAGCTGGCAGGCTCGACGCTGGTGGCCTAATACCTCCCATTTTGCAGTGGTAAATTAGGGGAAAAATGTTTTGCTAATGAAGTCTCAGGACTTGAGAGCTCCAGGTTGCCTACCTGGCAACTGAGGTGTTAGCAGGTGCTCCTCCTGCTCTAGAATCTTGCCTTTAAAAAGAAGATGCTTGGGGGTGGAAGACTGAAGCACCAATGGTGGAACTGCAGGTAGGGGCAGGTGCCACGCCTCCTGGGAGCTGTCATTCAGACCCAAAGTCCCAATCTCGCCAGTCTGCCGTCCCTCCACCCCACCAGTGGGGTAACAGAGGAATCACTGGGGTCGGCATGAAACCCAATGTTCCACTTCTCTGCGCCAGAGTAGCCAGCTTCTTCCTCCTGCAAGGAGGTCAGGCTGGATGACCTCTGAAGTCCCTCCACCTCCAAGCCTCCCGGAGCCCGTCTTCCTGGTGTAAGAGGGTGAGACCCACGTCCCTCCATCACTGGAAAGGGGCCTCCGGGCTTGGCCCTTATCACCCCTCTGGTGTCAGCAACCCATCTAAGTGAAAGCTGCTGCCATCCCACTGACATCGAATGAGATGCTTTTTCTGGACTTGCTGGAGCTGTGAGGTTTTACTGCAAAATAGAAGTCGATGGCACTTTTGTTTTTCTTTTTTTTTTTTGAGACTTCTATGACCCCACACCTACTTTTATTCTGTGGCACTTACCCGTTTCTGCCTTACCTAAGCACAGTTATTTTTATGTGCACATCTGATTTCTCTTGCTGGGTGGCAAATTCTTCTGACGGGGGGCGGGGACTGAGTCATGTGTCCCTCTTAGGGCCCAGCCCGGAGTCTGCCCTACAGCAGACTAGTGGAGCACTAGCTGATGACGGTCAGATGCCCAGAGGCAGTGTGGGAGGCACCGCTGTGGGTAAACTGAGCTCAGAGGCAACGCCACCTGCAGGTTCAGCTGCCCCTCCACCCCCGTGACCCTGCACCCCAGGGCCACAGACTCAGAGGCCCACAGGAGCAGGCTGGGAGCATGATGAGCCCAGTGAAGGGGTCTGTCTGGTGGACCCATCCACACGCCGCCCCCTCACTGGACCCACCTGGGGAGCCTTCATGAATGCTGAGGTCTGGGTCCCACCCCAAGAGGTTCTGCTTTATCTGGTTTAGGGTGCAGCCTAGACAGGGAGACCCTTGAACGTTTCCTGGGTGATCCCCTGGCTGCAGCCAAGGGGGAGAACCTTTGGTTCAAAGGCTTTCAAAATTTCTAAAAGGTCAAACCTCAGCGCACATCTGCACAGTCTGTCTCCCTGCTGCCCTGGCAGAAGGGAAGGCCCTCCCGAGGCTATGATG